CCCCAAAACCCCAAAACCCCTTCATTAGTTGATATTAGTGAATTTGATAGTCTAAAATAGAAAATAACAAGGGAGGAATCAATTAAAATTAAATATCACTTAAAATTTAATATGATTTTGAGAAATTAGGCAGTGACCTTTCAGATTGACAACAAAAAAGAGTTTAGTAGACCACAAAGTAGTAATTTGTAATGATCAGTCAAGCATAGCTAATAAGAATCTAATGAGAAAAGATTAAATCATACCATTTAGACTAATAATGGAGGAAATAAAAGAGATTCTTCAAGTAGGGATAAGAAAAAAAGAATTACCAAGACTATTTCAATACTTGATAAGATGATGGAAGTTAGAAGAGTTTATGATGAAAGCAACAGTCCAGCTAGGCAACCATAGTTCATGAAAACTTTCAGGAATAAGATATCCAAAACCTTCATGTATAACTTGGGAAGGAAGCTATCGAAGGATGAAAGGGGAGCAAGTCTGCGATATCTAGAAAATAAAGACTTGATAGATTATAAAATAGTTGTACCTGAAATAAGACCTCTCGTATATGAAGACTAGTCACTTGAATACAAAGAAAAACTAAAGAGTAGGTAGAAATATAAAGTATAAGCTACTTTACAAGATCATCGGAATTTACAGGAGTTCAAGTGCAACTTCACTCCAATCTTTAAAAATGAAAGTGGCACTGCTATGATATCCAGATATAATCTTGAATCAAACCATATTATGGAATTGTCCACTCATAGTAATAATCAGCTAAGTTCATCTGCGATGATTAACAGCAATAGTCTTTAAAAGCTACCGAAAACAATAAGGCTTCCTGCTACAGATTAGCAATTTAGAGTTAATAGAGCATATTTACTAAGCAGATAAAAAGTTTTAACTTAGAATTAGAATCTGATCGAGGATGCAGATGAAAAAAATCTTAAGAAAGTAAAGGAAAACCACATTGAAAAGTAGGAAATCAAAAATACTGTCCAGAAATGGTTGAATAGAAGAAAGCTAAAGAGAATAAAATTGGAATAAAAAATTAATATGCTTGATAGTTAAAGAGATGCAATAATTTAGAGTTAGAAATCATTGTCAAGATCAAAGAGTAAAAACAAAAAGTTGAGTAGAAAAGAAAAAAAAATAACGAGAATTAAGAAAAAATCAAACATGGAGCTAATGTCACTTATCTATTAGGAAGACCCTTTAAAAGTTTCTACAATGAATACTTAGAGCACTCTAGAAATGATCAAGAAAATGAGGAAACATTATAAAAAGCATAGGCCTAAGTCAATGAATCGAATAAGAACTGCTTAAAACTACAAAGGGGATTTTGAAAATATTTGTGATTTCAGCAACAACTTGAAACTTTCGAGACAAGCTATTAATTTTAATGATGACGTGAATGAAAAAAGGAAAGACTAAACTCCTAATGAATTAAGCGATTAATGATTAATTAATATGAGTAGCCAGTGTTAAAGTATAATTCAGTATATAATTTAATTAATGTAGTTGTTTTTATAATTAGAAGTATTGTATAAATAGAAATTGCTTTTTAGGTTGGCTATTAAAATCATAGAATTCTAGGTTAATAAGAAGGAGGAGGCTTATATAATAAATAATGCAGTTAGTCCAATCATTCTAGAACCTAAATCCATTTCCTGTTTAGAAGCATGAGTAATTATCCTTCTGGCTTCTGCATCAAGACCTGTATCTTTACATAGCACAGCCTAAACCTTATGTATCCTGCCACTCCTAGTGAATTGATCCAGCCAAGTCTCCTTCAGATAGACTAAGTCAATTGATTTAAACCATCTATAATCTCGAAATGCTGGATGATATATTCCACTATCAACTTACTATTTTAATAATAGGTTAAATAGAGATGAGCTTAAGTTTTATGTAAATTTAATGAAGAATATAGTTAATACTGTTTTTTGATTTAATATCAAGATTGTTTGAATATAGTTAACAATCATATTGAGATGATTCATTGAGTCATAGTGACTTCCTTTTGAGCTGAGAAAAAGGCGCTGCCCTTGGGGACAAAAATTTTAGCTTCTCCGTTTTCTAGGTAAACTGGCAAGTTACCGTTCTTAATGACAACACAGTCAGTGGAGTAGAAAATGTTGCAAACAGTTTGACCCTCTGAGAAACCTGAGTTTGGTACTTCTCTGTGAACCTCACCTTTGGCTTGGTTGGTTAAGGCAACAAACATATCACCTCTGCTGAAACCGTAAAATTGGTCATCAACATATTTCTCGTTGAAGGCGCTGTTCCAGATTTGATGAGCTTTTCTTGCTCTCATAATGGTTGAAACGAATGTGTAGATTTCACTGGTCTCGTCCAAGTTGTTCCAAAGAGCTTCTCTGTTGTATGGATCTTGGCCACCGGCAAATCCTTGCTCACTACCATAATAGAAGAAGGGAATACCTCTTGCTGTTAATGCGAAGGCGAGTGCACTCTTGAAGACTTTGTGCTCTCCGTTTCCATTGAGGAATCTTGGGTTATCATGGTTATCGACGAAGATACCTAGAGCATCAATGTCCTTGAAGTATTTTTGCTCTTCGTTCCATCTGTCTCTAATGACAGTCATTGATTTGCCGTAGGCAAAGGCATCTCTGATTGAGTAGTACATTGGATAGTTGAAGAGTGCAGTCACATGGTTTTGGTAGTCACCAACGTAACCAGAGAATCCATTGAAGCATTCTCCCATCTGGAACACACCAGCTGATTGTCCGAACTCGCTCCAGAAATCTTTAGGTACTTCTGGGATGGTGTCGATTCTGATACCATCAAAGCCATATGTTTGAACTAGATTACTAATCCAGCTCTTAAGTTGGTCTCTTACCCATTGATTTTCATGTTTCAAATCTGGAAGACCAGCAAGTCTGCAGTTTTCGACTTGCCATTAATTGCCCCAATCCTTAATGTCACAATTATCATGATAGTGATCGCCAGAGTTAAATGGTGAGATTGATGAGTAATCAAAGCCAACAGGACCTACATGATTACCAACTACATCAACCATAACCCAGATGTCCATGCTATGAGCAGCAGAGACGAGATCTTTGAGACCTTGTTCACCTCCAAAGTGATCGTTGATTCTGGCCCAGTTTCTTGCCCAATAACCATGGAACCCATTATCAGTATTGTCAACAACTGGAGAGATCCAAATGGCATCGAATCCGAGATCCTTGATGTATTTAAGATTATTGATGATTCCCTTGAAATCTCCACCGCAGTAATATGGCTGACGGTTTAAGTCGCAGTTTGACTTGTCCCCATTTCCCCTTGCAAATCTGTCTGTAACTAATTGATAGACAGATCTTGATTTCCATTCAGAGGCATCTCTTGCTGAAGTAGCAGCGAATAGGGCGCTCAAAAGTGCAGTTGATAGGATTCTTCTCATAATGATTGAAATTATTATTATAAAAATGGATCTTCTGGAATAATAAGCAAAATTTAGAAAGAAGGTTATTATTTATTATCAAAATCTAAGAATGCTTGCCTAATCTTTATAATAATGATAAATAATCATAGATAATATTTCGATTATATATTTCCTCTATTTGAATACGACCTACAATGAGGGGTTTTGGGGTTTTGGGG